TGGCTCTGCCTATGGTGGCCACTTTGCAACATTCAAGACAGTATCAAAAATCCTTCAAGCAGGTTTTTCGTGGCCAACAATGTTCAAGGATGCCCAACAGTTCATTTCAAGATGTGACTCATGCCAGAGGAAGGGAAACATCAGCAGGAGAAATGAAATGCCACAAAATCCTATATTAGAAGTAGAAATCTTTGATGTCTGGGGAATCGACTTTATGGGACCATTCCCTTCTTCCTATGGGAACAAATACATTTTAGTGGCAGTAGACTACGTGTCCAAGTGGGTTGAGGCCATTGCAAGTCCCACAAATGATTCAAGGGTGGTTCTGAAGATGTTTAGAACCATAATCTTCCCAAGATTTGGTATACCAAGGGTTGTCATCAGTGATGGAGGTACGCACTTCATCAACAAAGTCTTTGAGAACTTACTGAAAAAGCACGGAGTGAAGCATAAGGTAGCCACTCCTTATCATCCATAGACAAGCGGGCAGGTAGAAATCTCCAACAGGGAGATAAAAGCAATTTTAGAGAAGACTGTTGGGATTACAAGGAAAGATTGGTCTGCAAAGCTCGATGACGCGCTATGGGCTTATAGAACAGCTTTCAAGACCCCTATCGGCACAACTCCTTTCAACCTTCTCTATGGAAAATCCTGTCACCTACCTGTTGAGCTCGAGTATAAAGCTATGTGGGCAGTTAAACTCCTGAACTTTGATATTAAGACCGCTGAGGAGAAGCGGTTGATCCAACTGAATGATCTCAATGAGATTCGCTTAGAAGCTTATGAGAGCTCCAGAATCTACAAGGAGAGAACTAAGTCTTTCCATGACAAGAAGATAATCTCAAGGGATTTTAAGGTTGGTGATCAGGTGTTCCTGTTCAACTCCCGCCTGAGACTCTTTCCAGGCAAGCTCAAATCTAGATGGTCTGGTCCTGTCCATGTCACTGCAGTCGACCCTACGGTGCTATCACTCTAGCTGGAAAGGATGGAGATTTTACAGTCAATGGCCAGAAGCTTAAGAGATAC